TAAAGCCGGTTAACACTGCAACATCTGCAAACCCACAGCAGCAAAGAGGGCCTGTCCCTGCATGCTCTGCAGCTCTGCTATAACCAGACCTTTGCTCTTACAGACAGTTTAAAGAGATCTGGCAACACTGCTGCATTCGAAAAATTTCTGCAACCTTCACTCAGAACAAGGCCTATGCAGAGCAGTGGGTCAAAGTGAATGTTTCTGCTTATCAACTGGAGATGTTTATTTACATTCCTCTAAAGCAGCCGTGTGCGTATGATGGTTGACGTCAAACCAGATGAAGACTGCAGATGTATGTGCTCCCTCTTCTTCTATGTGCTTCTTCAGCGCTTCATTACATGCATAAACATGTGCAGCACGCCGGCTTTATGACATACGAGTGGAGGAATGGAGATAACTCAATGTTTACTGTAATGATGGTGCTTAGACACTTTTGCTGGCAAACTGATTTATGGCATGTCCATGTGCTGTATACTAGTGACGTCAGGTTTGAGTTAACAAAGTGATCAAGAGGGAGACAATGTCAATATGCACCACCTGTGAGCAGCCTATTTATTACTTTTATTACTTATATTACTTGCGTCTTAATTAACCACTGTATTCTGTTTTATTAAATATATAAATAATTGATCTACTAATGTATCTTTTATTTATTATTATTATTTCTGTCATTTCAATTAAGTCAAGAAAACACATGAAAATAAAATTATTTAGGACATTTTATTGAAATTTCCGGTCGGTGCGTCTCGTCTTTCATTATCACTCACGCCACCGGCCTCGTGCTGTCCTCTCACGCCGCTCTCACGTTCCTCGTCCTGCTCGCCACAGCCAACTAGTAATTTTGCGTGAAATGAATTTCAAACTCTGATGGCAGCTAACGTTAGCCTTGTTGATGAAAGAATTATTTCTCTGATGCGTGCGCAGTTCCGGATTAGTGGGTGTGGTTTGCGGAGTTGTGCAATGTGATGCATTGTGGGTGTTGTAGTCTTTCATACAAATGCACCCTTCGGTTATTTTCTGACTTTTCTCGGTCAAGAGGGAACCAAATTAAAAAAATATTTTACATTTCGACTACATATATGATCCATTTTCAATAAAGATTAATGTTGAAATGGGTGAAATGCTCCTTTAAATAGGGCACCCTGATTTGAGCGTAGTCATTAGCAGTGAGGAGAGATGAACAGCAGATGCGCTGATGAGACCGTGTTGTCAACCGATAGCATTAGCAGCATCTTGAGTTCTTGGCCTGCCAGAACTGATTTTTAAAAAAAAACGTTACATTTTTAAAGACTTTTTTGTATTTATTTATTTTATTTTTCATTTCTTTATTATTTTATTATTTCATTATTTTATTTTATTTTTTATTTTATTATTCAATATAGATTTTTTTTTAAAAATAGTAAAAAAGAGTGACACTGCTTGGTTAAATTCAAACTAAACCTCATTTCTTTTTATTTCATTCTTCTTTCATTTCTGTGCACTAAAGAAAACATTTCTGTTGACTCAGTGCATGTTTAATTTCATTTTAGTTTAAAGCGGAAAGATTAAATGCTTCTTCAGTTCAGGTTCAACTCACTGTGAATTAAATCTGCATGACTTTGCTAAACGATCAGCTGCCTGAGCAGGACATTTCTCATTTATATTGTATGCGGTGCACTTTCTCTATAATTCAAGCCATTATCCAGGCTTAGATTCAATTTTAGTATTTCAGTTGGAATCAGCACTCAAGGCACTATAGATGAGCCCTTCCCAGCTCCCTTAATGGGCAATGGCAGTGGAAAAACATTAGTATAGAAGGCTTTCATCATATTTATATGGCTCAGTGAGTGCAGGTGTGTGTTATCGCAATCACATACAAGAGAGATCGGAATCATAAAGGAGGGCGAGTGGGCACAAAAGGGAATGTGATACAGTCAGGCCTCTGCACAGGGATCGGACTGTTGGATTTGTGCCCTGAAGGTCATGGCTGTTCAAAACCTTTCCCCCATTTGTCATTTGGATCCTTTGTTTTTCTCACTGTCCACCCAAGGTAATCAGAGGCGGTCTTTTCTTTTTCAAAAACTGTTTTGAGACACTTCCTGCATAGCAAATGGACACTTTCATTGTCACTAAATCCTGTGTGGGTGTGACACTTGTGGAAAAACTTGTACAATATACATACATTCCCAAAATACAATGTTTTGTACATCCTGCCACACTCCCTTGAGGTCTATATTATACTATTGGTTCTCGGATGATTTTGTTTCTGGATCCAGTTTTTACATTGGACATACACACTGCTACATTAAAAAATGTTATTATACAAAAGGTAAATACAAATTTCCTTAAAATAAAATATTGGAATTTATTAGAAATACTTTGAATGGCGCATTTCCAAAATAAGCATGAAATTAAAAAATAAATTAAATCATTTTGTACAGATGGAGTAAACACTGAGTTAAATATTTCCAAGTGACAAGGGAATTAATACCACAATTTGTTTGGACTCACAGCCATTGACAACAACAATACGTGGAAAGCATTATATCTAAGACTTGGAGTTTTGTCCCTTAAAGAGGATTTTGTTAGCTATTATATATATTTTTTTACATTTTCAACTTTCTTTAGTGTGTATAGTTATAATTATGCAGATCTTTTTATGCACAAAAAGCAATATTATAGAGCACAGAGTTATTCTCTATTCTTAACTCCCTAAAACACCTCTTAGTCTCAGGTTTTCTTCCAGGAACATACACACCACAATATTACCTATTTAAATAATAAGGCATATGCAAAAAATACTGGCGAGGCCTGGTTAAGTTGCATGTGTTGTCGCCATGTCCAAGAGATGCTGTTTTTTCCTCCCTGGATCTAAATTAGTTATTATAAGAGGCATAACATTTCCAAAACACGCTTAAAGCCATTGACCAATCACAACACGCTGGTCCAGCCAACCCAATAAGAGCACATTTTCTGAAGGAGAACTAAACAGAGCGTTATACTGACAGACTGAGAAGAGAGGTACAACGTGAATTTTATTTAATTTTTTTACATTTAAGCATCAAAACCTATAATTCTAAACCCCAGAAGCACATCAAGACTTTGAAAAAAGGCGTACCATGGCCTCTTTAAATAGAAAATGAAGGATATGAAACAATAATGCAAACAGCTCCACATTTATACCTTGGCCCAATCTCTCCATCTCATAACAATTCACCACATAATACAGTATAATCCCCATTCCATATTTACCCTGTTCTGCATGAAAGCAGCAATCACGCTGGAGTGACCAAGTTAAATGTGAGAGGAAACAGATTTTGTTGCATATAGAAATCCCGCTTAAGCCTTAATGTCAAAGAAACAAAGCTTAATGTCACATGGCCCCTGTAATCGTGATGCTTGGTTTGCAGCACTAAATATAAAACATGCTGAATTAATGGACCATTTCAGTGTCTATTCTGAAGGCATTAAGAATTCACTGAGAACAATAGCTCAAGTGGTGCCAGCAGTCTCTGACTAGGCAACACACCCAGCTGGAGTTGTGCCCCCCTATCATTCAGCCATAATGCAGTTACAAAAACTGAACTCTCTGCGAAGGATCAGACTACCTTTAAATGCATTAAAGCTAAAGCAGGTCACATAAAGCTACTGTAATATGCAAATATAATATGGAGATCAAATGCATTTAAGCAGTTGACTATCTCTTTCAATTTGTCTAACATGTTTATCTCTCTAAAACTAGCGTAAACGCATTTTCATTTTAGCAAAACAAAGCAATGGTTTCAACAAAATTCAAATAGGCCTATCCGTCAAATACTGTATCTTAAAGGTGCACTCTGTACGATTTTGTTAATTAGTAATTAATTTGACCCATTTTCACTAACTAAGCTGTGACCAGACCGTTGTGTTTGCTTTCAGCATTTTGATGTCACAGCATTTATCTTGATTTGAGAAGTGGACGGTTTGTTTTGTCACTGATTGTTTAAATTATCTTCTTTTATTTACTTTTTTATATGCTCTGTATAATATTTCATCGCTGGCTAAAAATGCTAAAAATAAAATAATCATTATGTTAGCTGTCTATGAAAGTTCGTATCTATGGCACGAATGTCATTTCTCGTGGCATTTATACGCCAAAAGCACTTTTTGCGTGTATTTGGCACGCGATTTTCGCGTACATATTATACGCACTTTTTTGCGTATAATCAGCCCATTCTCACTCCCAAGGCGTCACTTAACTGACGCCTTGGGAAGCATTTGGACATGCTTCAATATCTGACGCTTTAGGCGCCCTTTAGCGTCAGTTAGATGACGCCCTAGGATCGCGTGTACCCTACCCCCACCCCACACCTAAACCTAACCGCGTCCTCTAACTGACGCTTTCCTTTAGCGTCAGTTAGATGACGCCGTAGGATCGCGTCATGTAAGTGACGCTAAAGGGCGCCTAAAACGTCAAATATTGAAGCATGGTCAAAGGTGACGCCTTGGGGTGAGAATGCGTTGGTATAATACACACGAACTCCCCACCCCCCTCCCCCCTAAACCTAACCCAGGGTTTTTTAGTGCGTACCATATACACGAAAAAAACACTTTTGGCGTATAAATGCCACGAGAAATGACACTCGTGGTATAGATACGCATCTTCATGAGACTGTGTTGCTAGTAGCCTAGCCTCAACTAAATAGTGTGTGAAACGGCTGATCATGTGATGTCAACATATAGCGACACCCATGTGGAGTAAAACGACTTTAGAAGATCTTATATATTTAGTTTTCAATTCATTTAAGTTGTAATATTTTAATTTTAATATTTATTACATTTTTAGAAACTTCAAACAGGCTACCCTAGAATATTTTATTTATTTTAATTTGCTAATGATGCAAGCATTTGGGATTTTGTAATAAACAACATGTCATGAAACATGGTTAAAAGAAGTAAGTCATTTATTACAGCATCAGCCTAAAAGTATCTTGCAGATGAATAACATCTTCTGGAGAGGGCGTTCCTTCTCTATATCAGGGATGATTCACGGATTTCGAGTCAGTGTGTGATGCGACTCTGCACAGAAAATTATCTGACAATCATTCATTACAATAGCTGTTGTTCCGTGGCACGCCACTGAAATGAGGACAAAAAAAGCCAGAAAACGCGCTGCATGAGTCTGACAGGCGGATGCAGGTGAAGAGTTGACTGCGAAAGTGGATCTATTGCATAATCAGATCGAGCACAAAGAGAGGCAACGAGGGTCGAGGGAGCTTCGTTTTGAACTATGGCGGCAACAAATATCATTATTCTGACATAGATTTTGATAACGAGAAAACGTGCCACCTTGGAGAACAGCGGCGAGTTGTTGGATATGAGGATAAAAAACACCCCGCCTCAAAACTTTCAAGTTTAAAATCTTGCTACCAGAGTTTGCATTCATTTTCAGGCTACCTGTGCAGTGTGCTCTCAATTAACACTAAACTGACTAGCTTATGTGATTTTGTGTGTTTTTTAAAGCCAACATCGGCAGCTTTTGGAGGTATAGGCTATTTGTGCAGCCTCAGAAGCCGTTCAAATGCTGGAATGGATTGGTGCTGCTTGTTTTATGATTTTATTGGCCATACTCTGGCCAGTGGTGAAGTGTTTTGGAGCGGAGAGTCACTCCACCACGCTGCTGCTTCCACAGCGCGAGAGTAAAAGATCCGCGGAGAGATGCGACTCGAAACTCGAGGGACAAGGTGAATCAGCCACAGTCGCTTTGATATGCAAGCCCTCTGCACTGGCAAACTACCTTCTCAAACATTGCATGACTTTTTGCAAGTCGTTATCGATACCAAAATGGAACTGGCGAATGAGTTCGTCTTTACAAACTGTCTTCGGTGCTTTGTGGCCGTTCGACTGTCCCGTGCATTTCATCCGAGATCATTTGCAGTTGAGTGATGATGGACTCGTGGCGTTAGACTGGGCTGTTGTTGGTGCAGCACATCACAAGAGGCGCAGGACTTCCAGTAATTCCACAAGTCCCGTTCTGCTTATCATTCCCAACTCCTATGGGAAAATCACCAGGAATGTGTTAAAGGTAGGCTACTTGCATTTTATAGTGAAAACAGATCAACAATATATCTGAGAATATCGCAAAACACAAATGTATTGCATCGTTATAGTACCTAGATATTTTTTATATCTAGTTTATATATAGCCTATATATTGTCACTTGTGTTGTGTGTGTGTGTGTGTTCTCTGACTCTGACCCATTTTTATTCTGAACCAATTATGATATTTTAACTTTGACCTTTCAGTGTGCTATGCAGCTGAGTGAATATATATAATTCAAATATGGCTGAAAGGGAATTCTACATTTTGCCATTATAATGAAGCGTCCCATTGGATGCAATTTTCTCCTAAAACACTATATGGCTACAGAAATGTTTCCTGACCTAAACACTTAGGAGTAGTCCACTTTTTAAAAAACTTCTGCTGATAATTTACTCACCCCCATGCCATCCAAGATGTCCATGTCTTTTTTTCTTCATTCAAAAAGAAATTAAGGTTTTTGATGAAAACATTCCAGGATTTTTCTCCATATAATGGACTTCAATGGGAACCAAACGGCCCTTATTCATCGTCTGGAATCGTTTAAAGCCCTTTGAACAGTTTGCAGTTTGGACTGAAACTCTCTTTTGGACCTTGAACCGTTTGGTTCCCATTGAAGTCCATTATATAGAGAAAAATCCTGGAAAAACCTTTCTTTCTTTTCAATTAAGGTTTCAAAAACCTTAATTTCTTTTCGACTGAAGAAAGAATGACATGGATATCTTGGATGACATGGGGGTGAGTAAATTATCAGCAAAAGCTTTTTTGAAAGTGAACTACTCCTTTAAAGATCTTTGCTGTTGTGACTTGAATTTGTTGGCCAATCCAGAAGGCTAATTCACTTATGTTTTTCTAACATGGTCAGTTACTTGACCATTTTTTGTTGTGCATAAATTGCACATTCAATATGTTAATTAAGTTTATAACAAGTTGCTACATAAAGACTACCAGATGTCTGGTAAATGGTAAACTCGCATTCTTGTTGTACTTCTTATTTAGCAACCATGTTTTGAAAATTCCAAATCTCGGTCTACTTGACTGAAAAGTGGTTTTATAAAGTGTGCTTATACACACATACTTTTCAGGCTTTTCCAGGCAGCTTAATGTGCATTTGAGGCTAAAACAATATGAAATCAACAATATGAAATGCATTCTTTAGTGTCATTTTTAACAAACAGGACAGGTGAAACTGATACGGTACGGTACGGTACAGAAAGAGTTAATAAATGTACTTTGAGTGAGGCTGCATTATGCACAGTCTGAATTTAAAATGATTTGAGGCAAGGATCAAAGTAGTCTTGAGAATATGAAACTGGGGTACAGTAAGGTGACGTGAATACTCTGACTGTTTTGCATTTAAGTGAAGATGCTTCATGACTTTTTCATTATTTCTGGCAATTATAGCATGCATGATAGAGCTTCTCTCAGACTTTTTGAAGCAGAATCAGGGGTGAGTCATTCCTCCTCAGCCCATTTGGAGCTCACTCCATGTTCCAGACCTACAGTAAAGCTCCAGGCAACTTTAAGTACACTCATTAGATTTCACACTCCACTCCATTGTGGATGGTTCCTGGAGAAATGTACTCTGTTTTCACCGAAACTTTGTTAGCTGTGCATTGTGAGTATAATCAGTTCTGTTAGCAGGCTCTTCTACTTCTCCTTTTTGTGTAGGGCATGACTGAGAGGAGTCATGGTGAAGATATCTTTGTAGAGAGATAAGAGCCATATAAAAGTCAAAGTGCTGCGTTCTTAAAAATAATGGTTCTTTATTGACATCAGTGGTTCCATGAAGATCCTTTAGCATCCATTGAAACTTTCCACTGGACAAAAGGTTCTTTATATTTTTGAAATGTTTTTTTTTTTCAATAAGAAAAAAAAATTGTTCTCACTGAAACATTCTTAAGGAACCAAAAATGCTGCGCAAAAAACAAAAACAAAAACAAAGAAACAAAAAAAACCAACAACAAAAAAAACAAAAACGTTTGAAACCTTTATTTTTAAGAGTGCACTTCTGCATGGCCAAGTAGTCTGGGATAATTAGCTCAATTGCGTGTGCGTGCGTGAGTGTGTAAAACTGTATATTTGACACTAGGCCGTGATTAGACTGACTGTTACAGTAACCACATTTAAATTAGTACTGACCCAGCTTTTTTTTAAATGTACGTACAGAACAATAAAGTAATGCATATGGTTCCCTTTTAGTTTTATAGACCATTTCACAAGATGTAAACAACACTGGTCTAGAAGCACTTCCTGTTTCAGTTTTTTAACACTACAAAAAAGCTGGGATAAAATACAACCAACAGAACATTTAAAACTGAATCAAAAAGTTAAACAAACATCTTTAAGATGTTTTCTTTACATGTGAAATAAAGAAAACAGTTACAAACTGAAACAGGAAGTGCTTCTGGACCAGTCTTGGGAAAATGGTCTATAGTGTCTGTTTCATGGTTATATCTAAGTCTATGTTAAAATAAAAAACATTTGAAGGGTTTGGTTGGGGTTGAATTCTAGTCCACTCCATGTGTTTCAGAGGAATGTTATACACACCGTGATTATTGCACACAGGCGAGAGGCTGGACCAAATTTGCACATCGCAAATGTGTGTGCAGTGTGTTTCCTGGCTGGTCAGGGAATTGACGCAAGTAAGAGATATGAAAATACTGTGGTGTAGTTTGGGCAGATCCTGTTTCTACATTAAGTCGTATTCATTTGCACCTTAGCCCGATAAGTAATTTGCCATCATGAATAGAATAGAGGAATTGCTGTTGCTTGTTTTGGGGATTTTGCTGATAGTAAGAGAATGTGGGATGACAGGAAGTAATGGGGAAAAAGAGGAATGGGATGGAGATGTTTATGTCCAGATTTGTCGCACATGAGCACTACAAGTCATTGTGGAAAAACACCAACACCCTTGTTCTTGGCTAGATTTGAATCCTTCATTTTTTTTTTAGGTATACATTGATTATGCACAACATATTGGTATCATTTAGAACTCAAGCTAAATATATTTACATTTATCTCCGTCAAAGAACATGAAAATATTTTGCACTCTGATGGATTGTTTGTTTATAAGGATTCTTCAGACTTGTGAAACTTGAGGAATTTGGCATCACTGTTGCTGGTCCTTCCATCGAGTAACAGAATTTAACACAAGCCTGATGTTAAGACAATTCAGCAACCGGGTAGCAATGACCATATCATGGTTGTATTCACAAATACTGTATATTTTATTTTATAACAGGTAGTTTATGGCAACTCTGTTTCTAAATGAATTGAAAAGTGTTTAGTTTAGAATATTTATTTTTACTTTAACTCAAGACTACTTATTATAGGTGTGGACAAGACTCAAGCAAAACATCTTTGTTTATATGCACAAGTATGACCCTTGTGTGCTGTATCTGGCCTGTGACCATTTCTGTTTTTTTCTTCTCAGCTCTGTGAGGCAGCCTTGAGTCACGGGTACCTTCCTGTGATCTTCAACCGTCGGAGTCAGAACGGGACACCACTCTGTACCATCAAGCTGCAGCAGTTTGGCGACCCGACCGACCTGCGGGAAGCGGTGCGCTACATTCGGTACCGGCAGCCGGCTGGTCAGATCTACGCTGTGAGCGAGAGCACTGGTTCAGGACTGCTCCTGTCCTACTTGGGCGAGTGTGGGTCCTCCAGCTATGTGACGGCTGCGGCCTGCCTGTCTCCGGTTTTCCGCTGCCAGAGCTGGTTTGAGAGTGGCCCGACCAGACCGTTCAACTGGGCACTTCTGCTTTACCAAAAAATCTGCCTCAGCAGGTAGGGTTGATCTTCTGTTTCCACAAAATATCTGTTTATATTCATTTAGAATTGAGCTTATCTTTAATGATGTTGAGAAAAAAAATTATTTTAATTTTTATTCGATTAAATTCAAGGGATCATTGGCTTAGACAACAGAAATACACAATACACACAATTTCAAATATAACAAATAGAAAACATTGAAAAGGAGTCCAGTATCACATTCAAGTATAAAATGTTTAAATGTATGTGTCAACATGATTAAAAAAAAGTTAAGAAAAATGTTAAAAATAGGACACTAAAAGTTGTTTATCAAAGCCTGTTTTCAAAATGTCCCGTCGCCTGCAATTTTTCAGTAAAAAAAAAAAAAAATCTTTCGTATAAATTATGGTTAAAAAAACAAGTTCAAGAAGAAACAGTTTAAAAGTGGGATGAAGACATGTGTGAAAAAGGGATATATAAAATATATTCTTTGAATCTTTTACCAGTTTAATGATAAAAATACCAATTCCACGTTCTTGAATGGCAGTACATAAATGAAACCTTATTTAAATAAACGTTGTGTTGTCTTTTCCAAAGGGATTGGTCACAATAAGGCATTTGTAAAATAAATCAGCTCAGGGTGATCCAAATTAAAATACAATGCTATTGCCATAAGGACTAGTGATACATATCCTTTGCCATTGATTTCTGTGATTTGTCTAAATAGGTTGCCTGCTCAAATCGATGATGATAACAAAACTCTTCCTTTGCTCCTCTGCAGATATAAAACTGTGCTCGGGGAGCTTGTCCACACAGACAACTTATTCTCCAGCTGCTCTTTGAAGGCGATGGAAGAGACGCTGTTCTGTCATTCTGGCTCAAAAGGGGTGACAGCGGATGGAGGAGGTAGCTGGGAGGCGTACTGGGAGCGGAACGACCCTCTGAGGGACATAGATGAAGTAGCCATTCCTGTGCTGTGTGTGTGCAGCCAGGACGACCCCATCCGAGGGGACGACCAGGCCACTCTACCCTTTGAGCTTTTTGAGAGCAATCCACATTTCTTCCTGCTTTTGACTGCCCACGGAGGCCACTGCGGCTTCTCCACAGCAGACGAGGGCCCGATCGTCTGGAGCCACCAAGCCTTACTGGAGTTCTTTCGCGCCACCACCGATTTCTTTGCCGCGGAGGAGCGTGCCAAGCTGGCAGCCCGGCGGAGGGGTGTGAGCGGGACTGGCAAGACTTTCCGCCATCGCAGCGTCAGCACATGCAAAAGACTGCCCGTCTGCTCGCATAACATTCACGCCATTTACAACTGGCAGAGGTCCTACACCAGATGATGATGTGCTCAGTGGGTCCCCTGCTTTGTTTGGGATTTGGGAGTGACTAAAAAAGCAAAGAGCACTGCCAGAAAAAGGTAGATTAGAACCATTTGTCTGACTTGCTTTTCATCACAGCCAAGAAAGCCAGCAGTCGAGTCAAAATAGCTCAGTTTACATTCAGGACTATGTAGAATTAGACTATCAATGTCAACAGATGAACAATGCCTATCTTTGAGACTGTTGAAACATTACGGTCAGTGGGGTTAAAACATTTTTTTTTTTTATGTTTTAGATAATAAGACTTAGCTAGATATCCTGAAATTTCTTACCACATTTTGGCTCACTAAATTTGGAAGGATTGATTGTTAAAAAAGTTTGCCAAACTAAAGAAAATAAAAAAAAGTAAAATAACAGAAAATAAACTTAATTCTCTGAAAATAAGCTGTAATGTTCATTTATCTAGGATGTTTATATGATAATCTCAATATCATTAAAAATGTATTATTATTATTCATTTATTTAATATATTTATTATTATTATTATTAATATATATTTTTTGAATGAGCCTTGAAGTCATGTTTCTCTTTTTCAAAGGGTTGGTCCAAATGATTTTTATGTACCTCATGAATATTCTAAAATTTAGAGAAAAAAAAAACATCTACATAGTGGCCCTTTGATACTTTTGACGTCATTAATGTTTTGCGTTAGTGCATACAATAATGAAAAGTGACAGTCTGCCGTTAGAAAGGCCTGTGGAATCGGAGTAAAATGTCAGTCGGCACTGCTGGGGTTTCTTATGACGTCATTCTGAGGTTTCAGGGAAAGCTGACAAGGGTGGAGCTAGCTTTGCAGATTTTCACACTGATTTTTTTCCCTCACTGTTTTTGTTTACTGCCTTTTCTGTCTCCATTTAAAAAATGTGTAATGTCAAACTCTTGTTTAAATTATCTGTGAACGTGGGAGCTTTCATTAAAGGGTTTCAGCTAAATACGTTTGTGTATGCGAATCAGGTTTTTGTTAGTAAACAGTACGTCAGAATTAGAGGTTATGCAACAGACTGTATGGAACAGAAATGGTTTTTAATTGACTCCCACAGTTGTTCCTGAGAGCAGACTCAGAAAAGTGATTGCCAAACTGAAGCATTTGTCAGCATTTAGTCACAAAGCTCTATGCTATCTGATCCTGGAATCACACAGTTCATTTGATGCATGATCAGGCTTTTACTGGACAGCCCCAAATTTAACTTCAGCCTGGAGCCTGAGCTTAGACAGAGGAGGTATGATAAGAAGAGACGGTCTCTGCAGACTACAGCTCTGACAGGCAGCACTACGGCAGTTTAAAATGGCTTTACTCTTCATAATCAACCTATAATACAGTCAAACCAAAAATTATTCACTCGCACAAATCAGCTATAGTGTCCTGGACAATAAATATGAAAATTGATATCTGGTGTCTGAATAATTTTGGGTTTAACTGCATCAAATCAGTTAGTATCATCCTGGAAATATATTAATATGCATTGTCCGTATATGTTCTGTTAATAAACGTGTATTATAGTAATATGACTGGATATTTATAGGCATCTGCAGTACTGTTCTAAAGTTTTGGATTGCTTAGATTTTTTTCATGCTCCCCTTGGCTGCATTTATTTTGTCTGCAAAAATACGTAATATTGTGAAATATTATTACAATTTAAAATAACTTTTTTCTATTTGAATATATTTTAAAATATAATTTATTCCTGCAAAGCTAAATTTTCAGAATCATAATTCACATGATCCATCAGAAATCATTGTATTATGCTGATTTGATGCATTTTTTTAATCAATACTGAAAAAAGATGTGCTACTCAACTTTGCCATAGTTTGAAACCGCAAACTCTATTTTGATACATTCAGTGTCAAATAACCTGTGTTATAAATGTAGCAAGATTGTTTTTTACTAAAATGATAGTCAAAATCTGCTGCTCTATTCAACGCCTTGATTAATTTAAGAATCCTTACAGAACTGCCTGATGGGGCCATCTAGTGGATAATAGTTGAGAACAGGTCTGTAACCACCAGTACTGCATTTCCATTAGTGGTCCACCATCTATATGGGTGTTTATTGGCGGGTTCTTAAACTACTACAACTGGGCCTTTTTTCAATCCTGAATATTTGTGACTTTTTGTGGAGCTCACTCTGAGCATAGGGACCTTACGCTACAACAGAAAAGTACCCTATATGTCAGAAAAATAAAATGTGTAATAAAGTTACTAATATATTCCTTTAAGATATTAACATGCACACTAAGTGTATTTTATGCCCTTAGTAATGTGGGTTGCTGAAACCTGTTAGATGGGAGTGTCCAAAATACTTTTGGCCATGAAGTGTTTGTCACAGTGTTATTTTATTATTTGTATATTTATTTATTTGATGTATATTTAAATACATTTATAGTATATATTCTAAAATATTTACCTTTTTATTTGTTTATGTGCTTTTGTCATTTTAATTTGATTTGGATTTTTTGTCATTTACTTTAGTTTTATTAATTTGGAATTAATATTTATTTCAGTTAGTTGCCAAGGCAATCCTAATTTTCACTTGTTTTTTAAGTCTACATTTTTCATTGATTTATTTTATTTATTTTATGTTTTTAATAGTTTTAGTTTTAATTAACAAAAATTGAAGTTCCCATGAGATTTTGTTTAGGCATAATACCAAAAATAGCCACCGGGTGACTTACATTCCATTGAATTTAATTGTATGCATTCTGCCATGACAAATCAATACATTTCTGTCCAAAATATGGAACCTTGAGACTCAGACATTTCTGGCAATATGTGTTTTGTCAAGTTTAGATCATTTGATCATAAATTATGAAACATGACATGTCCAAAAAAGGGGAGGAGCTCATCTAAAATATATCAAATTAAAAAAAAAAATCTTTTGGATAGGTTTTATTTAAGTCCAGATTATAAAAAAATGACATGAAATTATTTTTGCTTAGCATTTTCCACTCTTGCCTGTTTAAGGGTTAAAATAAACATGTAATCGAGAAAAATGGAATTTTGTTTTATTGAGATCACTGAGAAATGTTTTTTATTATTATTATTTTCACGTTTGAGGGGGTTAAACCGTGACATCTACACGTTTTCCAAAGTGGACCAACGTGATTATTTCACGTCTTGTCGTGATACCGGGTTTTTCGTGCACACTGGTAATCATATTTTTTTTTTAATAAAGACAAAGGTAACGCTCATTTTACATACAGCACACAGTGAAAACGATATGAATATGATACAGTGGGCAACTGTAGCACAACATATTTTAAAATGAAGGATTTAAAGTTTTTCGATCGCGTCTCCTGTGAAGCGGATCTGTTCCATTCACTCACTTGAACCAACTGTCATTTGCAGGAACACATTTATGCTACAGTTGCACACAAGATATCACAGCTGGATTCAATTAAATCTGCAAGGTTTGTGAAATTAAAATGTTTAAATAAGTTATTCAGAGATTTGTTTAAATTATATACACTGTAAAAAAAAAACATTGTTTGTTTAACTTACAAATGAAGTAACCTGGTTGCCTTAAAATTTTAAGTTCATTGAAATGGAAAAATTAAGTTAATACAATGAAGGAGATTGATTTAATCATCAGAAACTCAAAATATTATGTTATCTGAACTGCATAAATTATTTAAGTTGATTTGACAAAAGAAAAAATGTTGTGATTACAAATCATGAAAATATTTTACATGCGTATTTGCTGAAAGCTGACGATAAAATTAGTAATTTGAGCTTGATTGTTTGCCTTTTCTGTTACAAATAATATAAAAGTAAAAGTAATTCAAATAATATAATTATTTGTTTACCAGTTCTGTCTAACAAACTAATAGATATCACTGAAAGAGATCGTAAATTAATGAAGATGGAGAATGTGAGTGAGCGATGTTTGTGATTAGGCGCTGGTGTCAGAAAGTCCGGAGTGCGGTCAAATAAAAGTCCCGCTTTCAACA